GTTCTCTCTCGCCCTCCCTGGGGAGGCACCACTGGAGGGCGCCTAAAGCCCGTGGATCGCTCCCCGCGCCCCTCTTCCCCATCATCCTGGGACGGGGACCGGGAAAGCCCCCCTTTGCTCCCCAAGGCCCTACCCTCCCCCTAGCCCGCCCCCACCAAGAGCAGGACCAGGGCTGTGGGACTAGAGAGGAGGGACACCATTTATTTTTCAATCAGGCTGCTTTATTTTTGTGTGATAGGTCCCCTGGCCCCTAGTAGCCACCTCTCCCCTGCTGGCTGCCACCCCTTCCTACAGCTCCTCACTCCAGGGCAGTCCCTATCGTGTAGCAGGAGCAGCTTCCTGCCTGTTTGCCAAAGACCCTTTGCTCACGGATCTCTCCTGTCCCTTTTGGGGGTCCGCAGGCTCTGCGAAGCAAAGAAACACTGTTTATGTGAGGGAGAGGGATTGTGGGGGGTGGGGGGCTGAGAATGTCTGTGGACCTTCCCTCCCCTGATCTCCCTAAGTGACGGGCCTCAATGGATCCCCCAGTGCCAGGTCAGCTGACCAGGCAAGGTGGCCCAAGCCTTCCTTTGGCACTGGTGCTCCCGTGCTCTGGTGGTCACACCTGCTCACCTGAGGGGCCTAGATGTAGTAGAGGGGCACCTCGCCACACAGGGTGCTCAGGGTGGGGCCGAGGTAGTCCAGGTTCCTGGAGGACTCCGAGCCAGGGTCATGACCCTCCGGCTGGCCCAGCTCAGAGTGAGGCACTGCAGGCTTGACCTGGAAAGAACACCTGATTTGGAGCCGAGCGTGGGAACTGAGTTGCTGTCTCACTCAAGGCCCTTAATGGAGGACGTCAGGTGTGCCGGGCAGTCTCTCTGACCAGTAAAGAGGGGGCTGTACTGGAGTCAGAAGCCCCCAGGTGGTATGTGGGTTCGGCAGCTTGGTGGTGGGTGGTGTGGCAGCAGTGGGGAAGAGGTAGGGAAGGTGTGAGACAGGTGAGTCTAGAGAGGGGCCCTCACCTGGCAGCCTCCCAGGAGTCGTGCTCTACAGGTGACAGATAGCCATCACCTCAGGCGGTCCTCCCAGCAGTCCCGGGTAGGAGACAACCCATCCTCACCCTCGCACCCACCTGGAGGCTCTGGAGCTTCCTAGTGAGGGTCTCGAGACTGGGGATGCTCTCTGGTGCCATCGACATGATGTAGCAGTAGGTTCCCGGGGCTGGCTTGTAGGCAATCAGGAGCTGGGCACAGGAACCGAGTTCATTCAGGGAGGCCCTGCCTTGCTCACTCTCTAACCCTTATCCTGGGTCCTCTCCCTCTAGGTTGGGCACAGGCAGGAGCCATACTGAAAGCTGGGGTGCAGGCATACCCAGGGGAGGCAAAAGGGCTGGGGGATGAGGAGAGATGGGTTTGTTTGAAGTGTCACAGCTGGATGGGTCTAGGGGAATCTTGTCATTGGTCCCCCAGGCCCAAGGTCAAGAGGTCCAGGCATACTCACCCGCTGGTAGTCATACACTACGATGCCAGTGGAGCCAATGGAGAAGGTGGCAGTGGTGCCGGCACGCTCACTCAGGGCCAGGCGTTGCTGGGCTTCCGGCCCCGCAATGCTCATCTCCAGGACCTGGGGGAGGGCAGAGTGCTGCCTGGCATTCCTCTTTCCCCACTTGTCTCTTTGGTACTCATGCCCATCCTCAGTCCTCTGTACTCCGACTAATTCCTTCTTCCCTGACAGCTCAGAGAGGCGAGTGGAACCAGGTGCTGGAGGGACCAGGCCTCCTACCATGGGGCAGGGGCAGGGGCAGGGGCCTGGTGGAAAAGCCCAGGCCAGGTTTGCCAGCCTGTTCCTGCCTCTGTCCTTCCAGGAGGTGTCCCTTGCCTTCTGTCATCCCTTTTGGGCAGTTTGCTATCTACCCATCCTGTCCCCTCCCCCCATCCCACCTCTCAGACATGTCCTATACTGGCTGCCCACCCCATCCTAGGCCTGCTCACCATCTCAGTATGTTTCTGGCTCATGTGAAGACCCATGAGCAGGGCCCCTACAATCACCACGACGACAAGGACCACCACCACGACCACGATGAGAAGGCGTTTGAGGTGCACAGGGCAGCAGGGGATGCGGAACCGGCCCTGCGGGGCTGCGGAGTAGTCCTGATGTGGTAGGGCAGGGAGGAGACAGGCGTGAAGTCATGAGGATGCCCCCTCTCCTCCCTGCACACACCCTTCCAGGGCTGGGCCACCAATGCTATGAATGTGGAGAGGAGGGATGAGGAGATCAGAGAAGACTTCCTGGAAGAGGTGCCCTGGATTCCAATAAACTCATAGATGGTTAGTAGTGAGGTTTCGCTTGGAGAGACCCAGGAGAGCTTTTTCACCAGTCATATCTCCTGCTGTTTCCTCCAGACCCCTGGCACCCCAGCCATGCCCGGTCCCTCTCCATTCCCCAAATAATCCATGTTCTCCCACATCTCGGTGCCTTTATAAATACCACCCTTCTTCCTGCAGTGCCTTCCTCCTTCTACACCTGGGAGCTCCTACTTATTCTGGAGCCAGCTCCAATGCCATTGTCTCTGTGGAGCCTCAAGTGTGTCTCCCTACTCAGCGTCCTCTTCAGCTCTTTCCACTAACCTTACATTGGAATCACTGGTTGCCATGCCTATCTCCCCCAGGGACTCTGTCTTTAGTGGTTGACGTCCCTGCCCTAACTGAGCACAGTTCTAGCTTGATTGAGCACATGAATTTGGATGAGGGAAACAGGTTGGAGGCGGCAGGGCTCACCACGTACATGCACCCACACGTGCACACACACATGATCACACTCACCGGCGGGCTCTCCATCAAGACCTCTTTGCTGCCCAGGTCCATCTTGCTGCAGGACCTTCCTCTCCTCAGCTCCCAGATGGGACTGGGGTCTTATATGTGCCGGTAGGGAGAGGGGACAGAGGTGAAGGACCGGCCCTCTCCTGCCAGCCAAGTCCTTGGCTTTGAAGCCTGTTTGTTCCTGGCCCTCCAGAACCAAGGCCCTGATAAGCCAGCTGCAAGAGCGCCCAAGGGCCCTTGGCCCTGGCACATGAGTCCTCTTGGCCCAGCAAGAGCAAAGCTGGGTGAGCTGAGCAAACTTGCCCTTGGGCAATCTGTGCCTCTCACGATGGGTGTCTTCCTGGCGCGCCTGCCTTTCTTGCTGGCACCTGCCCTTGTAGTCCTGTGGCTTCCACTGTTCTCCTGCCAGGCTGAACCTCTCAGGAAGCCAAGAGTCTGCCGCAATGGGGAGTCCATCACTTCCCCCCACAGAATTTCCCCCAAGCAGGGATGAGCTCCAGGGTGGGAGCGAGGAGATAGTGCCTGTGGACCCAGAGGGGACACCGCTGAAGGCATCGGTGTGCGGGCTCACGAACGGCTCATAAATTCTATCGGAACGTCAGATTTTCATGTGAAATACTCTACCTGCCTCCCCGTCACCCACACTTCTGTATCTAACTTCAGACTTGCCCCCTAGCCATTCTTTTCCGAATTTTGAATACTCCGTCTCCTCTGGTGACAAATGCTTATGTACTAACCTGAGGATTTTCATTCTTTGCTATGGGTTAGTTTGTAAGCTGAAGACTCTCCCCCCTGCACCCTGCTTTTATTTTAATTGCATTTATTTTATGCTAAATTTATTCCTGGGTCAGATATTTTTGTTTTTTCAATTTCTTCCAGGATGTCTTTTATTTTATTTTTTTATTCTGTGCAACCTCTTCTTCCAGTTCACGGACAGCTGCTCTTTTTCAGTAAGATCATCTCACTGTGGCAGGGGGAGCTCACCCAGGGGTTCTTCAGCCCAGGAGCTCTGTGAGGGCTGCACCCTCTCGTGGAGGCTTTGTTCACCTGGATGTGCTCAATGACCAGAGGATCTACTTCTAAACCCTGCAGTTCAACATTACTCTCTTCATTTTTAAGCTTGTGCAATAAAAATTCAGTACTCTTTTTGGGCCACCGACCCTGTGTCCAGCCCCACTGTTTGGATTGGGCACACCTACCTACTCCAACATTGTAACCACGGAATGGCACACACTGCTTCTGTCAAGTGACATCCTTCAGATACTTGATGGCTTTTGGGATATTCATACCCTCTTGGTGGTGGGAGTAGTTTCATGAGCATTTTAAAAGTGAACATGAATCCCTGGCCGGGTGGCTCAGTTGGTGGGAGTGTCATCCCATACACCAAAAAGGTTGCGGGTTCGATTCCCAGTCAGAGCACATACCTAGGCTTCAGGTTTGAGCATGTATAATGGATCGATCTTTCTCTCTCTTTCTCTCTCTTTTTCTTCCTCTGACCCCCTCTCGCCCTCTCCCTTCCTCTCTAGCTAGAATCAATAAAAACGTATCTTCAGGTGAGGATTAAAAAAGAAGTGACCATGAAGACTTGAACCTTTTGATTTGCATGATTTAGTGGGGTCTTCTGTGTCAAGTGGATGGCGAGCCATTTTCATAGATGCAGCTGAAGGCTTTTGATAGCAGATTCCAGGCCTGACTCTGCCTCCTTGCGCCCAGACAGGAGTGTACGGGGCTGGGTGCGGTGACTGCTGGACTCCCGATCTCCTCATCCTTGCATCAGCCCACTTGCTGGGTGCTGCCATCACCCTGCCTCCCTGCACTCTTTTTATATCTTCTGATCCTAAATCTGCCCTGAGAACATTTCTCACTCAAATGGGATTCACTTTGTGGACCTTCCTCTTCTATCTTTCTTTATCTCTTGTTTCCTATTCTTCCCCAAAGCCATCTCTGTTGCTTCATTGTGCTAAACCAAGTCTACTAATGGCGGCTGTTAGGGTCGCCAAAGGAGGAACGCACAAGGCCAAAAGGGGTAAAGAATTATGAATTTATTAGGTCATCGGGATACCAGACGGGCTGAGCCCCAAAATGGCGCCAGCCCCCAAAGACTGGGAGTCAGAGGTTTTTAAAGGACTCTAAGCGGGCTTTTTCTGGGCTGAGAATTCTCTGTGCAGGTCTGGGTCCTGGGAAACTCCGGAGGGGAGCGACAATGGTCTTAGCAAGTGGAATGTGGTCTAAGCAAGTGGAGTGTTCATTGTGAAGTGGCCTAAAGGTCAGTTCCCGGGGGAGGGGGCATCGATTCAATTCTTTGATCAGACCTGACATTGGCATCCTTTCTCTCAGGTTGCCCTCTGCTGGCTGGGCCAGGGGCACCCCAAGGCACCTTCACCTCTAAACTTTCATGAGTGTGTAAGTCTGAGCCCACACCTTGCTCCTCTCTGGGTCTCACTCCCTTATCTTCCTTGTGATGTAACTCCAGCAGTTCACCCCAATTTCTGACCTTTGCCTGGGGGCTTCCTCACACTTGGCCCTGCTCTTTGATCATGAGCAGACTCCCAACTCTCCAGCCCTGGCAGGTTCCTTGTCCCCACAAGGGCCTCCACTCCCCCTTGGGCGCCTTTAGCCTCCAGGTTGCACAACAGCCTGGCATCTGAGCTGAGAGCCCCTGAGAAGCTGGGGTAGGAGGAAGAGAGAAGGAAGGAAATGTTTGCTCCCACCACCCTCCTCACCCCCCAACTACTCCTTTAAATATTTGCCTAAGTCTCTAGCAGCAAGTGTCCTAGGAGGCAAGAAGGAGGGGGAGGGGGTCTGAAGGGAGGGGGGAGGGTCCTCTCGACTGTGTGAGGCCTCAGCTGTGTGCAGGTGCCAGATGCAGGAGACAGCTGCCTGCAGTACCCACCCCTGCCCACCCCCAGGGCCCCTACTCCCATCCCCTGTTGTCCTGGCAACACTGGGATTGACGGGCCGACTCATACATGCTGGGCTGATGCCAGGTGGGCAGCGGGCCAGCGGGAGAGCCAAGGATAACTGCAAGCATCTTGGGGTCCCTGTGCGCATCTCTGGGGGCTGCCTAGCCCAGTTTGGGGGCTGTTCTGAGCAGGTGCTGTGTGTAGGGCTTGCTATTATCACTGGATCAGGGAACCAGGGCTCTTTCTTGGAGAGAAGCCGCTGCTCTTGGGGCCTCAGTCTCCCCTGCAGGCTGCCTTCAGGCTGTACTTCTCATAAGCTTTACAGATTTCTCCTCCTTCTTTCTCTCTTCTGGTTATTTATTTTTGCCTGTTTGGAGGTTGGTAAGGAAAGATGCCCTCCAGTTTCATGAGGCAAGTTCGGATGCTGGCACCAACTTGATGGAGGTCTTGGGAACCTTGGAGAAGGAAGGAGGGAGGGGCCTTTAGCTGGGCATAGCTGTTCCCTCGCCCCCCACCCCAGCCCTCTGCTGTGGCCTTCTCCTATTGGCCTTTCTTAGGCTGTTTCTCCCTCCTGGAAGGCTCACCCTCAATGCCTCTCCAACTCTCAATACCACCCACCCTAAAAGGCCAAGCAAGAAGCAATGGCACCCACTCTGTGACCTCACCGCCCCAGCCTACGGTGCCTCGTTCCTCCTCCGAAACCTCCCAGCCTCCCTGCTGCACATTCACTTGCCACTTAGCACGCACTGTTGTTTTCACCAGCTGCGCACTGATGTTCTCATCAGCTAAGTGGGTGCCTTTATCTTCCCGGCCTGGCTGCCAGCCATGTGACCAGCCCTGAGATCCAGTGTTCCCGAAGCTTCCTTGTACCTGCTGCAGGGCAAGCAAGGGGCATGCACGCAGCCAACAGTCAATGATAAGACTGTCGTCACCAAACATGAGGGGGTGCCTGGCAAGAGGTCAATAGTTCATTCCTTCGGTACGTGAAGGTCTCAGTGCCTCACTGACCAGCTCTCAGACCCTGAATGAGACGTTCTGCCTTTCTAGACTTCAGAGTGTTCATTTGTGAGATGGGACTAGTGAACCTGTCCTGTCCCCCTCTCCAAGCTGGTGTGAGAATACAATGACATCATGATGGGAAAATCCAATCGTCACGATTGTCTTTACCTCCCAGGGAACCTCTTCTCACTAGAGTAGGACCCAGCCTCTCCCTTTCTGTGTGTCTCTGGGTTAAAGCCTCCGAGGACGGTGAGAGTGGAGAGCCCCATGGTAGCCACTCTTTCTGTGTGTGTCTCCCTTTTCCCTCCTCCCAGCCGCTCAGCTGCAGGGGCAGAACAGGATTCACTCTGCTCTTTGTGTCCTGGGCAGAGCCGTGCCAGGGACAAGCAGGGGTGGTTGCCCAGCTGCCCCAGCCATCCTCCCCACCCCCATTGCTTGTCTTCCCACTGGCTGGCATGGGGAGGGCAGCATGGGCAGCTGGACAAGCAGTGGCAAGTGGGCATCAAAGGGCAGGGGCATCCCTGGCATGGATTTAAGCTCAGACCAGACAATGCCCTGCTGGCAGAGGCCAGGGAGGCATCTTAAACCCAGTGATTTGATGTGGAAAGAGCAACTGGGAGCCCAGCCACCTGACTTCCAGGCTCCCCTTGTCCTATACCTGGGAGTTCTTGGGACAGTCACCCCCATCATCACCACATACACACACTCCTGAGAGGTAACACGGTATAGAGCAGCAGTTTTCAATTTTTTTGGTTTCAGGATCCTTTAACACTCTTCAAAAGGATTGAGGACCCCAAAGAGCATTTGGTGCATGTGGGTTATATGTATGGATATTTACCATATTGATATTTACTGAGACATTTAAAATATTTATTAATGCATTAAATTAAAATAGCAATAATAAATCCATTATATGTTATAACATAAATAACATCAATTTTTAAATGAAATGTACTATTTTATAAAGAAATATATATGTATGTTATATATTATATATTATATATTATATATTATATATTATATATTATATGTTATATGTTATATGTTATATGTTATATGTTATATATTATATATTATATATTATATATTATATATTATATATTAGGAGAGAGAGAGAGAGAGAGAGAGAGAGAGAGAGAGAGAGAAAGAGAAGAGTGTCATTGTTTTACATTTTTATAAATTTCTTTCATTTCTGGCTTAGTAGAAGATACATAAGTATCTTTGGAAAACTCCAGGGCACTTTGGGAAAGCATGAAAGTGAAAAGGGCAAATGATGTCTTAACATGAATAGGAAGATTGGTTTGACCTCAAACAGCCCCTGAAAGGTTCTCAAGGGCCCCTGGGCCGCCTGGACCACACCTGGAATGGAAGCGTGGCTGTGAACTCCGGAGCTGGGCAGAAGGGGTTAAAGCCCGGCTCTGTCCCTTTCTTTTTCTGGCA